AAGTACTCTCTAAAAACTCTCACACTGATTGCATTGCATTTGTTAAATAGGTTTGTGTCTTACCCTTACGTGTGTGATACATATGAATATGGCATATGAAAACAAATTAATTTGACTGACTCATGAGAAACACATCCAAAGTAACAGTAAAATAAAAAGGACCTACACAATAATACTCAATAGCCGCGTTCACACCGGAGTACTTTTCACCGTACTTTTCGCGTTTAGTTCCGTTAGTACCCCTTATGTCGCGTTCACACCAAAAAGAGTACTTAATCTCGGGAACTTTTACCCCCATTTTTAGTGCCCGCTGAGAGATCGTACTTTCCTGTGGGAAAAAAGTGCCCCAGTGCTGATTGGCTGGGCGAATTGCAAACCACGCCCCGTACAACTGTGAAAATGTTGTGTAGAGCCGCCATTGTTTTTCCTCGCTACAAAAACCCAGCGCACCGACGGAGAGTAGTTTGTTTTTGAAAGCAGTTATGGCAAGCATCAAGCGGTGGAGTGATGAGGAGGTGTCGGTGCTTCTGGAGATCTACGCCGAGGACGCAACCCAGGGAATGCTACTGAAGCCAGTTCAGTAGCTTTCACTCGACCTGGGAATCGTGCACAGCCCCACGGCATACCGGCTAAAAATAAAGAAACTCAGGCAGGACTACAAACGGCGGATTCAGTGGCCAACGATGACGACCACGACGAAGGTAAAATCAACTACATGCACTGGGGTTTTAATCTGCACAATAATGGTCTCAGATGTACTTTTATTTGCTCAGTAGATCAAGCTAGCCATGCTAGGCTGAAATGGCTAACACCGGCCCCGAGCTAGCTACATCTAGCTCGCTAGATATTCTCGGCCGCTATGAAAACGTTTTGACTTGTGAATAACTGTGCAGTGTTTCTGTAATTTGCTTCACTAACTCATGGCACTAATCGTCTGTTTCAGGCGAGGATGGACAACTCTCGGGATTGGAAACAAGCGAGCTTTGCATTCTAGATCACAGCGCTTGGTCGTCCCCCTTACCAGCAACCAAACGCAAAGGTACACACACTGTAACTTTGTCTTGAAAGAACGTTACGCATCGAACTGATGTTCACAATCATGTTTATTTCCTTCTTGGTACAATTATGAAACAGCGTGAAAACGTATTCGCCTAGACCGGCATTTACAAATGTTCGCGCCTTTTTACTCTCACAAACATTGTAAACATCCGGGCTAGAGGTCACATGACTTCCGGTAAGAAAACTTGCCTCAACAACATTAAACAAAGTTCAAGCATACATGAAGCACTCTTCAAAAATACAAAACAATAAAGAAGGGCACTTTGAGCGGCAGCTACACACACACACGCACACACGCGCACACGCACACGCACACACACTAGTATGTTGTAAAACTACATGGCGACTAAACAGATCTTGTATCTTGCTTATTTTCCCCTCTTAGGAAAGCGGACACGGGATGCGAATTTCTTTGACACCGTCCAGGCGTTGGAGGACCGGCGTGCCGTGGTGAAAGAGTCGATGCACGGGGATCAGATGGTGCTGTTCACCAAGGCCCAGGAAACGGAGGACAAGATGCTCACCAGTTCATTTTATATTAGTGTTATTACTGTTATTATATAGTCTTGATACAACTGACACTTTATTTTATATTGATAATGTTAATTTACATGTACAACTTCTATTTTATTTACATTAAAAATGTGAACTTCTATTTACTGTTAAACAGATCCTGTATCTTGCTTATTTCTCCTGACACTTTATCTTTAGTGACCTGTGTAGCATCCTATACATCACATGTAAGTGATTATTCTGATACCATCATGTTTCATCGGTTATAAACTGGCGAAGCTTTATTTGTCATTAATTTATCATCAATGTTGCAACCTTGTGGGGGAATGGCAGGGGCACATACACAAATATGATAATTTATATCATTTTAAATATTATTTGACCTAAAACTAAATGTTTTTATGATTGTCCTCTGAGGAGGACATGGGGATTTGCAAACTTTTAATCCCCCCCCCCCATTTTACACAACACAAAATGGAGTCCACTATGGGCCGAAACTAACATGTAGGTTTCCATAGTGTTTATGGCAGACGGATGCAGTGGGTCTCAGGAAGATATATAATAAATAATAAAGGTGGGTTTGCTGCTGAGCCTATTTACTGTGCATACAACACACCTGGCACAGTTTATTGTTATTATATTGCCACACTGTACACTATTGTAATGTTGCCTGTCTTGACTGGAAAATAAAAGAGAAACAAAAACACAGTACAAAAGATCAGCTTTATTGTCAAAATGTTTACAATGTACAATCTACACGCTGTTCAGATGCCTCATAAAGCTGGGTCGCCGGTAAGGCAGTCCATTCGTCCCTGTACTCATCATTACTTTCACAAAGGTTATGTAATATGCAACATGCTGCCACCTGGATTTTGATCTTGTCCATCTTGCAGTCGTTTCTTTTCATCAAGCACCGCCACCTGCCCTTCAGTCTGCCAAAAGCGTTCTCCACCACCACTCGTGCTCGGCTTGTTTTGTTATTGTACGCAAGTTGCTCAGGCTGCATTAACTCAGTTACAAAGCTGTATAACATGAGCACAAACAGCACAACTTCAGTCGACTCCATCTCCATCATGTCTGAGGTCGGAAGATAAACAACAGACGCAGTATACGCGGATTGCAAATAACTTTAAGGTGCATACCGCCACCTACTGTACTCGCCGTGAAGTGGTTTGTGGCCTGCCAGTAAAGCCAAAGCAGAAGAAGAAGAAGTGACGTCAGCGGCTCATTTGCGTAATCTTCCCTCAGGGAAAAGTACTCCGGTGTGAACGCGATCTGTACTAAGTGCCCTGGGGTAAAAAGCGCCGGAACTAAGTACAGGAAAGTACTTGGTGTGAACGCGGCTAATCAAACTGATATAAGGACTGTGATATCCAGCAATTTCTTAAGTATAACAATAAGATTATGACCTGTTTTTAAAAGAAGATAAAAAGTTGTTTGCATGTAAAGAAGTCTGTAAGCCACGCATGTAACTTTACATCTGTTTGTTCAAAGTCTCCTTAAAGGGGACCTATCATGCAAAATGCACCTTTGTACGTCTTTTATACATGAATATGTGTCCCCGGTGTGTCAGGGAACTCACCAAGAGTCAGAAAACACAACCCTCTCTCTTTTCCTCCATACCCAAATCTCTAAAAACGGGGCTGCAACGGATCTGCAGACTGATACAGATTTGAACACTTTACTGACGTCAGGACGGTGGTGCTACGGCTATTGGGCCAACTACACCAATCAGGAGGAGACAGCCACGGCCATTGCCGTTCGAAAGCGCTGGAGACGCTGTAGTACATATGCCAGGCCTGTAGGTGGTGCTGTTCTCACAGAATCAGCCCTTGCAAAAACAGGGCTAAAAAAGTGCAAATTGAGCGAAATGAGGCATGGCTAAAATGCATGATCTGTTTGGTATTTTGAAAAAAAAAAAAGTATAAATATGCCTTATATAGGTATGGTCCTACACTATATTATTAAAATATAGCATGATAGGTCCACTTTAAGGTGATCCAGACAGGCTGGACCAGAGGAGGAGAGACAGATCTGGACTCCTAATAGCAGAGAACTTCAGCACGGATTCCAAGGTACATATACCTTTTTCATAATTTACAAAGAATGCATAAAGTTATTGGTTTTAACAAATAAAGTAATGACTCTAATACACTGATATACATGCCATCAAACATGACTAAATACTAGATCACCTACACATCAGTGATGTTGAGTGTACTTTCTTAGCAAAAGGTTACATTTCAATTTTTTCAAGCAACATAACTTTTTTGTTCAACTTTCACATTTCTACGGAGCCCCCCTGGTGACATTGGTGAGAAAAATATTAATACGTGGCCACGTATTAATAATGCGTGGCCACGAATTAGTTATTATGTTCCCACGAATTAGTAATGCGTTGCCACACAATAATTATTGAGCTCTGTAATGAGGAAACTGAGGTGGCTGTCCATGTTGATCTTGCTATGAATGAAGGTAATTATACTTTATATGCCTATATAAACATTTCTGGGATGGACTTATGCTGTGAAATCTATGCTTGCAACAGCTTAATGTGATTTAAGAAGCACCATTGTTCGGTGTTGTTTGGTGGTATTGTAGAGCACACGCTCGTGAACTGTTGCCGGCCGCTGGAGCCTCGCTGCGGGGTGATCTGCGTGTAGGGGAAGCCCTGATTAGATGTTGCCGATGCTTTTTTACTTAAAATAACATAGGCCTACTGTAATAATGAAACGGATAGGCTAAGTCAGCCCATATAGAGGCTGTCAATGCTCAAACAATCATTCTAAATATAAGTCAGATCCGTAGTGACTAAGTTGCAACCAACTTCAAATCATACAGAAGAAGCATCACTAAAATGTGTGGGAACATAAAGTGTATTTTAGAAACACATGTCCTAACATCCTACTTATTAGGTAGTTCCCCGCCCTGACCCCTGATAGGCAATACACTCCATCAGCTGCCATGTAGCCATACCTGAGGCCTCCCATGTCTTCATCTCAGGGGAAAGCCTAACTAACAACACCGCAGTTTATATTAATAAAATTCCTATATACAACCAAAGGTCAAACATTTAATTTAAAGTCAGGGTTTTGATCTGTTGCCCTAACATAATTGTAACACTGCAAAATTGTACATGCCAAAGTGCAGCGAGGTGTATAACAACAACAAATCTAGGTCTGCCACTGGTTGAAACCACCAATTTAGCTCATTATATTCCTCTGGAATTACTTAGTGATTCATTCATGTTTCTGAAAACCTACTAGCATCAAGCTGTAAGTGAAACTTTCAACTGGTTGTGAACAAATACTAAACTGCGTTACCTTGTGCAGATCCCCTTGAGGCAATATGTGGACAAGTGTTTTTCGTTTTATTTGGGTTTAATGACATTTCTGCCTTTACATGTGCCAAAATAGCCTATATGATGGAGAGACAGGAGGACCCCTTGTTGCAGTTTCTGCAAGATCGTGGAACTGGAGAAGAAATCCTGAACAAACTCAAAAACGACAAGGTATTCTTCAGAAAATATTCATGAATATCATCTGCACAATGAAGAATCTACTTCAGCATATACAGTGAAAGAGTAGTACATTATCATGCCATAGCCTACAGTACATAATATGGTCACTATTAATCCTCCCAAGATAGAGATATTAGTCAACTAACTAGATGTACAGTACCGCATAGCGGTACAGAATATGACCGCTGCTAATGTTTCACACCTGTCACACACACACACACACACACACACACACACACACACACACACACACACACACACACACACACATATATACACAGAAACAGTGCATACATATTTGTGTTTTATTTGGCCTGTAACTTTCTTGAAATAGAAAGCAAAAATGTTGGTTTCTCAATTAGGTATAAATATGTAAATTTGCAAAATAATTTACGTAGTTTGTGACCCATGACAATTTTAATATGATCCTGTTAACATGTTGTTACTTTTGTTTACATTTGCAGATTGATTCGTCAGTAATTGCACTGATGTCTGAAGAAGATCTGGCAAAGTACATCCCACATTACGGAGACAGATTGGCAGCTGTAGCCTTCTGCCGCAACAGTCATTGTGGAGATTCAGTAGCATCTAGACGAGGTCAACTGGAAAGAATAAGGGCAAAGTGTTGTGCTCCAGACAGCAAGACAGTTAAAAGACAGCTGAATTGGGATAAATTAAAAGGAAACAAAAATGCAAAGAGACAGGCAAAGAGATTAGAAATTGGGTGGATGAATTTCAGTGAAGACGACAATGCTTTCAAACAGGTGCGAACTGTAAAAGGCGGTGGGACCCGGCATGTCTGCGTGGACAGGCAGACAAAACTCGGAGAAATCCAAGAAATGGCTGAGTCCCTTTTTTTCCCAAATGGTCTCTGCAAGTCTCTAAAACTGACAGACCATGTCCGCAGGATCCGTGACTTTGCACAAAACGAGATTGACCCAGATTGTACAGTTGAGGATCTGTATGAAAAAAACAAAGTTAAATTACTCAGATTGTACCTTTGCACCAAGAGAGATGTTCAAGAGGCGAACAGCTTTACTGATTCTTCACCAGGAACACCCTCAGACGTCATAAGAAACCCTTCACAGGATGTCAAACAAAGTCAAGTATCAGAACCAGAAGTCATAATCGACTTATCTTCAATGTCGGACGCAGATGTGATAAACCTCTTAATTCCACATGCAGAGCTACTGACGTATGAAGAATCATCAAATGTGGAGTTCATCAGTGACAACAATGAGGAAGGAAGAAGACAAGACCAAGGAACTCTAGAAATTACAACAGAAATATTTAGGATTGAGGAAGAAGAAGACCAAGGTACAGGAGTATCACATGCTTTGCCTGAAGCCCATGATGCAGCAATGCAGCGCAACACCTACACTGATGATGAAGTAACCGTTGGCCCGTCATTTAGTCATTCTGTTGATCTGGATGATACTTTGCCTTGGGAGGGATCAAAGCCAAAGGTCATTATTGTGGTGCGTAGGGGGAACTGCCTTGCTGACCTCCTAGCAGCCTTTATTGACCCTGATATGATGAACAGAGATGTGCACATTAAAAGGAAGCTTCCTAATGGAGAGCTGGAAGAAGGTGAAGGCTCAGGTGTGCTACGTGACTGCCTAACAGAATTCTGGGGGGAATTCTATAGTAAATGCACATTAGGTACCAATGTTAAGACACCCTACCTTAGGCATGAGTATCAAGTTCAAGAATGGCAAGCCATCGCTAGGATCCTTGTGACTGGCTGGACAAAGGTCAGATATTTCCCACTGCTTCTCTCACTTCCGTTCTTGGAAGAATGTCTGTATGAAACCAATTATAGCAGTGTGACAGAGAGCTTCTTGCAGTATGTCTCGACACAAGAGAGGGAAATTCTTGAGCTGGCTTTAAAATCATTTAACTCTGTTGAGAAAGATGACCTACTGGATGTGTTAGATGCACATGACTGCCACCTGCTTGCCACTGAAGGTAACATTGCTGGACTAGTGTCACAGTTGGGTCACAAGAGCCTAATCCAGACACCAATGTTTGTAATTGACTGTTGGAAGCCAATCTTAAAAACCTTGGCAGATACTTTGTATCCACAGAGGCTTGTTGAAATAGTGGAAGAACGAATCCCAACTCCAAAGCGTGTAAAAGACCTTCTGGAATATCCAAAAGAGATGACAGCCCCTCAAAACACTGTGGCAAGGCATTTGCGGAAGTACATCGGTGAATCTGACAACACCACTCTGAAGGCTTTCCTCCGGTTCTGCACAGGGGCTGATATGCTGTTGGGACACAGCATCACAGTTCAATTTATAGAGACTTCCACATTCCAGTGTCGACCCCAGGCACATACATGTGGGTGCTATCTGATGTTACCAGTCAACTACCAAAACTACCCAGACCTCCGTAATGACTTTGATCTTATTCTAAGAAGCTCAGTCTGGGTAATGGACATCATCTAAGTCACGAGCCTAAGAGCACATGCACACAATGGCTAGGTCGGATGTGCTAATGTGCTTTTAATTTATTTTATATTCATTTTAGTTATATCTTACCCAGTATCTGAAAAAGCTGAGTGACTTTGTTATCTGACAATTGCTATGGACCCACACAACAGACTTGTAACCTTATTCTTTCCAGTTTTCCACATTGCCATTATTATGAGGGGTCACAAATGGCTTGTTAAAGCATTTTTGAAATGTTATCAGAATTATAGTTGAAACTACTAAATTCACTTTAGTCAAATCAGTCTTAACAATTATCTACCTAATTCACTTAAGGTAAATCAGACTGTCAGATACAATGTTTGATATGTTTTCTGTTCCACTTAATATGCATACCAGTATGAAAATTGGTTAGTTAAGGTTTATCTGCATCATCCTTGGTGAGAAATGTTGGTAAGTAGGCATTAGGTTAAGCTTGTTTCTGCTTTATAATGGGCCTACCACTATTCAAATACCAATTCATTTTGATAATGTCAACATGAATAAACAGTTTAAGAATATCATGTTGTTTGTATTTATCTCATGCATTGCAGGCCGACACTATAGTTGCTGGTATACTTTAAACAGAGATTTGTCACATTGTTACCTGCAGCCCAAACCTTAGCAAACATAAATATGAATGAAACCAAAACTTGAACAAAATAATTACCACATTTTATTGTACATGTGCATCCATGAAGCCACTGAAAATACATGGGAAATGTTGTACCACTAAGGTGACATTTAACAGCGGTGTTATATGTTAATTAATTACTAGTTGCTAAAAAATGGAATTAAATACATTGAATAAATACCTAATGTATAGACATGGTTAACCACAAGAGCTTTTGAAAGCTCAATCTCATACACATATGCTGCTGGATAGGCATACATGTTAACTCAATATAGGATAAGATATTGACACTATCATTGATTAATAAAAAATGTACAGTGCTTGTAACTGAGAAAAACGCCAACAGGAACAGTAAGGAAGCACAATTAATAAACAAAAGTGGTAATACTATTCGATTCAATGGTAATGAATTAAGCTGTCATATTTGCGAATTGATCAGGCAACTCAGTTAAAGATGAGGGAGCGAAGAGCCTCACGGATTGTCAAATAAAAATCTTGAGCTTGTGGTATGTTTGTGGGGAAAGTAAGGCCTGACTCTAACATGATCATATTACAGAGGTCAAATACGTCTTCGTCGCAAGGGATGGTTGAAAGGAACTTGCATGTCTGTTTACAGGCACCGAGGTTGCTGTGTGGAACAACACAATCCTCAGAGCCCCACAGCTGTGGCACAGTATACATCACGTCAGGGATGCCACTTGGTACATTGCAATTCTTTGTTGGCCGGATTCTATGGGTATTCCACACTGCCTTGATCTTGTCCAGGTGTTCCTGTTAAAAAAATTAGAAAGGTCAAGAGTTTCAAACAGATATAAATGAGTTTAAGTTTCAATGAGATTATGTTTTTATTGACTAGTGAGCATAGACTGTATATAAAGCTAGTGAGTGATTGCAAAACATTTTAACCGCAATGTGGCCTTCCACAGAGCATACAATGTGTCAAGATAAAGCCCCTTGTACCTGCAGGGTCATGCCTATATTCACATGGTCTTTTGTTCCCAGGGTCCTATGTTCCTAGCTCTATAGCACATAATGGGAACCTGAAACAGATGTTCCCCAGCTCTATGATCACTGAATATGACATACATGGGCTATTATCGTGAAGCCTTCTTTGAAAAGAAAATGATATTCAATATGTTAACCAAACTAATTAACCCAACCAGTTGCCTCACAGCAAACATGTCAGGTGTATTCATTCCGTTTTTTGAAGGGTCTGTCTCTGCTTGGATAAGTGACTAGATTTTTGCAGTGACAGTACTTTCCCTCAACTTGAAGATAAAGATAATTAAGCCATTAAGATGCAGACATTTAACTGAGCTACGAACATGTTTATTGTCTGAATTTAAGTCCATATTTTAAACACAGATGCAAACAAATAGGTGGAAGATACTGTCATAGGGCTTTTAAAAAATCCCAGAAGCATCTTTGTGGGGGAAAAAATGTTTTAAAGTGGGGATAGTTCACATATAGGCTAAGCCACAGGATTTCTTCAAACTCACCTGAATAACGTTCCGAAAACTCAGCTGTACAAGAGATTTGTCCAGGAAGTCACCAACAAACAGACCTTCGTCTTTCATTTCGCCCAAGAATTGTATCCAGTACTCCATTCCTTCCTTGCGCAGGATCCCCCACCAACTCTCAATTCTCTGATTTGAAGTACTGGTTCCAGCAATATAGCTCCTATCACCTGATCTGTTGTCATTGTCATGGCGACGGAGGAAGGTTTGGATGTCTCGTACAACCACATTTTCAGTTCCCAGATCTGTCCGGATGATCTGTGGACAACCACCAGTCTGCTCCACAGCCTCTACAAAGTAGCCTCCTATGACATGTGGGTCATTGCTTGTGTATGCCGCTTTCAACCAGATGATTTTTCGGGAAAACCCATCTATGCATCCATTTATGCAAATGCCATAGGGCTTTAATTTGTCATAGGAATCAACGTGCCAAATGTAGTTTGGCCCTTGCGCAAAATACCGTCTGCGGATTAGTCTCCGGGCTCGACGCATAGCTGAGAAGTTTGGATCCAGATTTGCAAGGATTAAACGAACATCTTCCTTTTTTGCATTGATCCCACTTTGCAGGCATTTTGCATGCATCCACCTGTAGCCATGAAGTCTCCCCGGTCCTTCTAGCTCCTGCTTAATGAAGTCGACGACTTGCCCAATGTCCGCATATTGTTTACGTTTCAAACCGTGCATTTTCAGCAGCCGAATCAAGTGCCTTTTGCTAATGATGACACTGTGCTTAACTGCAAGGGATTGCAGAATATCATTATAATTCATACCCAAATGAAAATAAAATGAAATCAAATCAAAATGATCCATGCTTCGCGATAATAGCCGTATAGCCTACGGTACAGAGCTAGTGTTGTCACTCAGTCATCAGTTTCAGACTATCTAGATTTAGTTATTGCGTGGCCACGTAATAATTAATTCGTGGCCACGCATTAATAATGCGTGGGAACATAATAACTAATTCGTGGCCACGCATTATTAACTCGTGGGAACATAATAACTAATTCGTGGCCACGCATTATTAACTCGTGGCCACGCATTATTAATTAGTGGCCACGCATTATTAATACGTGGCCACGTATTAATATTTTTCTCACCAATGTCACCAGGGGGGCTCCGTACATTTCAATGTATTTAAGGCAAATATTATTGAACATAGTGAGAACTGCGACCCTTTGTCTCTGCATATTGACTGTAAAAAACATGTTAAAAGTGATTCTTTCAGTGAGACAACCAAACAGAGCAAGCTTCTACAGTTGCACTAAGTTTTGATAACAGTTCAATATTATTTTAATAATACATTTATTTCAATGTTGATGAATTTAGAACAGTTTATTCATGACCTGATTATCTTTGTAGTACACTGTTGAATTTAAAAAACACATTCAAATAAAAAAATCATTATATTTATAGCCCCTGAACAAACAAACACACCTCTTTCTTAAATAACACACTTGCTCTGCAATAATATGTTTTTTGATATTTCTGTTAGGAAAGGACATGCCTGAGAGACAGGACTGCTTCACCATTTTCTCTTTCTCTGAGGGTCCAGAAGAACATCCAGAGGGAAAGGAAAAGCTGATGTTATGAGATTTAAGAGCAGTACATGGCATTCACTAAGAGACACTTATATTGTAACACAAAGACCTGCACACTGACTAGTTTTGTAGTCTAACAGGAACTTAATTTTTGTGTTGTTTTGTGTTTTACGATGCACCCCAGAGACAGTGTGATTATTGTCAGGCCTATAAAGTTTGGCAAAAAGAAAAGTCAGCTGATCAAATGCATTTGCCTCACTTTATGAGCTTCACAATACTTGTGCCTTGTACCGCAGAGTTTGCAACGTCACAAATAAATGGTGCCAATCTTCAGTCAGATGTGAATGTGTAATTTAACATTTTCAGTAAGAATAACGGACAAAAGGAGTGCAAATACATATACAATTTATTGAAATGTGAACTAAAAGTTATCAAGCATGAACCATCACAATTTTTAATTTTTTTAAAAAGTAAAAACGAAATAATATACATAAGTTACACTAAATGTTAATCTGTTAATTGATTAAAGGGCCCATGTCATGGCCATTTCCACTGATCATAATTACATTGTTGAGGTATACTAAAATAGATTTATACTGTGCAATTTTCCAAACTCACATTGGTTTCGCATACAGCATCTCTGTAAAGTATGTGTATTCAGCAGTATTCACTCTCTCCACTAAACGACTCGTTGGAGCTCTTGCTCCCTGTGAGCCTAGTGTGCTCCGATTGGTCAGCTCGGCCACTCTGTTCTGATTAGTCAACCACCAGAGAGGCTCCGCCCATGTCTAACAGTGCTTTTTTCGGCTCACTCTCGGAACATCAGTCTTATAATGGCGTCGGTAAAGCCGTATATTTTATACGCTAACTAACCGAACTGTACCTACAACTGTTGTTATAGAAGAGTGTGACGGCCCCAGGGCCTTTGTGCAGGTGTGTTGCAGGTCTTACGATGGGGTGGAGCTGAAGAGGCTAATTAGCGCGATCACGGACACCTGGCCGGAGCCGAGGTGCTATTAAGCCCAGCTGCCCGGAGTCACACGGCGGCCCCTGTCTCTCTCCAAAGCGGCTGCAGAAGGACGAACTCGGCGATCCTCTCCCCTCGACCACCTATCTCTGCATTTACCACAATACATGTGCCGTGGTTTTGTAAACTTGTGTATGTCTCCTTGTCTTTCCATTGTGGCCTACGAGCCGGTCATAACAAATGCCCCTTTCAAACCAACGCAACTCCGGTTCAAGCTAGAGCTTTTCTGGTTTAGAACCGGTTCTTCGGTTTAGCGCCGGCTCTTTTCACACCGCTCAGAGCCCGACTGGTGCTGCCGCTGCTGCGTCATGACGTCACAGTTTACGTCGCTGAGTTTCTCCCCAACGCCGGAGCTCACCTCACAACAACAACGGGCCGGGGACTGCGTTGCTTTTAATCATACGAAGCCAGATTAAATTAAATAACGACTTCTCCAACCTTATACTTTTCTCCAGAGTGCCGTGGTTCATTGTTTATTAATGTGTTTCAGCGGCATTTACCGACCGCTGCAGTGCTGGCTGCTCTTCAACGGGAGTGTATTCTCCCGTTAGCTCCGGGTTAGCTCACACGGCTCTAAAGTATTCACTGTCTGACTGTCACACAAGCAGCTGATACATATCCCCAGTTCCCCTTAAGTGAATGTGTGTCAGTCTGAATTGACGCTGTTTGGTGTCAGTCTGAATTGACGCTGTTTGGCATCACAACGCTGTTATGAAAGTTTCTCTGGTATAACATGGGTGATGTTAGCATAGCAACCGAAGCTAAACTGACTACTT